CTTAGCCTATGAGTTTGAGCTTAGTTCTAACTTCTATTTGAAGATGTGGTAATACTTCTCATAGTCATATCTCAGTTTGTTTTTGGTCCCAAAGAGCAGGTTATCCAGTCAGATGTTAATTAAGCATCAGTGGTGTGCAGCAACTCTGTAGGTCCTCGGGGGGAAACAAATTACATATAAAACGTGGATTCTGACCTCAACAACCGTATCGTCTAACTCAAGGGAATGGCCAGCACTCGGAAAGCAAGCTGAGACATTGCAAGTGATTCCCAAAGTAGCCGTGGCTGTGTGACACAGAGAAAACATGTTGCAATGTTCAGAGAGAAGTTTTAAGGAAGTTAGAGAAGATGAAAAATATGCACCCTTTCCTTCTTTTATTCATTCATTCTTTCTTTCTTTTGTTTATCACCTGAGGGCTTGAGAATAAAAGGATTAATAAATAATAGTTACTCCCTCACAAAGCCCTTGGTCTATCAGAAGAAAAATGCTCTCAGCAGAGGAAGGGTAGTGCAAACAGAGGGTGGGGACTCGAAAGGGGTAGGGTTTGGGCTGATGGAAGAGAAGGCAGAAGGCATTCTAGGCATATAAAGCAGATGGAAACACTAGTCTCTCCAAGCTCTCCTTCATGCCTCCAGTGTTCACCAACAAGCAGGTGCGCAGCAGGGGCTCAGAAAATATATGTTAAGCTACTTAGGAGCCTGTTGCCAGGATAGCAAGACGACTAACACAGATGAAGGTTTTATCTGGAAGGCTGATGAGAAAGAAAGAGAATGTTCTAGGCTGATTCAAGGAGAGAGGCGCCTCCAGGTGGAGAGAAGAATGGAGACGGGCCACAATGCTTAGCCTGCACGTGATCGGGGGAGAGAGGGCATCAGCGTGCTGACCGATGCAGATGAATGTGGCACTCGGGCAGAGACCTGCTCGTGTGATAACTGATACGTAGGTCTGGGTCCACACCAGGGGCACGTGGACAGGTCAGTGCGGGAGAAACAATGGCTGAGCATCTGAATCCACAGTGTGACTAGGGGCTGAATTTCAGGATAAAGCCAGCAGTGTGGATATTGAACAGGAAGGTCGGGGATTTTTACCTGTGTAAATAGGTGAAGTGCAGCAGGATGATCAAGAGGAAGCAAAGGTTGGAGACCTCACTTAACTCTGATGGATGTCACGTGTCTGGCTATTTCTAGTGGACGTGTGTGTGTGTGTGTGTGTGTGTGTACAGGTGTGTATGTGTTACACAGCATGGGCCCTACATGTGCCGCTTTGTGACATAGAGTATTTTAAGTGCAACTCCTTTCACCTGACAGTCTTGGTAAACACAGAGTCAGGGACAAGAGCTGTCAGGCCTTTAAGAGAACAAAGGCTTGCAATGCTGAGCTAGGCCAGCATAGTGCAAGTCGTGCTCAATCAAAGATCAGTTGAAGCTTTTTTCTAAAGTTGGAACCGGTCTTGTTAATCCACTGGTCAGTTCTAATCAAAGTCCTCTGGAACTGGTAATGACAAGTGGGAAACTGTGCAAGGAGATACAGTTACGGCAGGGCTATTTTAGACACCCATATTAGTGCTGGTTTAGCCTTCACCTTCTTGCTGATGAAGAAGTTGATAAGTTAAACAATGCTGAACTTTAAAAAAAATTTAACTACTGATTCAAACAGTCAAGATTTCTCCCTATGTTACCAAGATCATAAACGTGTGGCATGCTGGGGAAGCACCGTGACCTCTGCCCTCCGGGCTCCCTCCGCCAGGTGTGATGTCCCCCTGACCACTCACTGCTACATCCGTCAGGCTTTTGCATCTATTGCTACTGAGCTTGACCTTCATCTGAGCTTAGGTTGTAACCCAGAAATAAATAAGAACCGAGATCAGCACCTGACTCAGAATGGACTGCTAGTTCTCCCACTGACTTTATGCCCTCATTGCCAAGAAAAAGATGATAGCTACTTCATCTCTAAGAAGTTGGGTTGTCTGAAGGCTCCATGAAGGTCAAGGACACCAGTTAGGCTCCATTTAATAAAGGTTAGTCTTTTAACCTACCAGTTTTCCATTATTTCTTTCATACAGTGGGAGACACAGCAAAATAGTGGCTGCTGTTTCCAGGGGAAGAGGCCCAGCAGTCTGTTTTTCTGACAGGTTGTGCTTGTGGTTTATTGCTTTGTTTTGATTCTGAACATCTCGTGTGACTGAGCAGCTGAACAGCATCTGGAGGCTGTTCCGCTGGTCGGGGAGGGGAAGGCTTGGTAGCACCACATATGCTGTTGTCCATCCTTATGCTTCCACGGTCTTCTCCCTGCTGACCAGCCCTTCCTCTTCCTCTTCATGGGAACGGTCAGCAATACATTGTGTGACCTTAGCTAGGGGAGAAAGTGGAGTAGGCCCCAGCCACACCAGCAATGCAAGCAAAATGAATTTCCCTCATGAACCAACCTTGTGAGTGATAATCATTAGAACAAGAATATATTTTTGCCGTTATTTTCCTTTGTGTGCATGTTTTCCCAGGGACATTACAAACAGTGGAGGGAAAGCAGATATTCAAGGCTCCCTTCCAGAATCCTGACAACCCCTTTTTAGCTCCCCAGTTCCAAAATAATCATCTTGCACTCCAGTCTCCTAGGAATTGAACCATCATCTTGCCCCCTCGGAATCCACTCCCTGTTTCATATCCCACTCTCACGAATGGATTTGGAGCCTCGATACTGACATGCCTTGTGTCAATATCGGCCACTAATGTCCCATGATCCAAGCTGACTGATCCTTTAGCCAAGGGATTGCTCCATTTCCGGTTATGTGACACTCCTTATTTCAGACTTAAGGGTGTATGTGACCAGCCTGTCCTTTTGTAGGGTCATAGTACAGAATCTGCCATTGGGCTCACTTTTAAATCTTAGACGACTGAAGCTGAATCCTGTTCCTGTGAGTGACACACTCCTATACTTGACCTTGGGCTCTGTCTCCTGACCTTCCTCTGTCTAGCTCATCCTCAAGTTCTGGTTCTTTCACAAAGAGGAATTCCACCACGTACCACAATTTTGTGGGAAATCATGGGCTAAGAATCAAGTCTTTGGAGTCAGGTGGAATTTATAGTACGGTTGTACCATTTAATGTTGAGTGTTATTCAGCATCTCTTACCTGATGTCTCTTTATATCTAAAACTAAACTTATTTGATGGTGTTTGAGGTTAAATTAGTCTATGTTCCTATACCAGGTGATATACATAGCATCTCTGAGTTGGAGTCATCTCTCTCTCCCTCCCTGGCTCCCTCCCTCTCTGCCTTTCTTCCAGGCCCTGTGCAACATATTAAGGATACAGCTCCCGAATAATTCATAGTCTAGTACTAGAGACAGAATGCAAATCAAATCTATAGCTTTTGTCTACTTTGTAGATGCCATACAAGAGAAGGAAGCATGACCAGCGAAGTTCAGAGTCCTCTCACTCTCAGGTTGGCAGGATCTCCCCCCCAAAATAAAGGACAGAATGGGTCCACTCGGAGGGTGCTGTTGAGTGCGGCTTCAGTAACATACTTGATTGTGCATGAACTGTGTATTAGTACCACCTAAGGAACTGCTCCATTTCTCATCCCCAACAAACACCCTCCCAGCTCATGTGTCCTCTAAGCATTCAATGGTTTAAATGTTTTCCTGCTGTTTGCCACGTAGCCCCTTACTATATGGTTGTTGACCTTGATCAATAAACATGCTTCACACTGCTCCTCGTTTCAATGAAGATCATTCTAGTGGCTGCAAAATTTACTTTTCCTATCAATGAAATCCTATAACTCAAGGTACCAATAAAGGAAGAAGAGTGATATATAAGCACAGAATGTAAAATTATCCTTTTAAACTACCTTCTGTGCAGGCTGTTCAGAGACGTGATTCAGATCAGTTGATCCATCCCTTGTACTCCTTTACATAAGAAAGGCAGCATGCAATACTGCTTGTTTTTCTTTTAATTAAAACAAAAGTTCCTCTCAACATGAGCAATAGGAGGAGAGATGAAAATTTATCTTATATACAAGCTAATCTGGAAAATTAAGAGCAATCCTCTCTCCCTTTTTTCCTCAATAGCAGAGTTTATTCCCATTCACTGGAGACCACACCTTATGAATTTCCATCTCCCAGAGTAGTCAGATTCATAGAGACACGAAGTAGTATGGCGGCTGCCAAGGGCCGAGGGAGGGAAGGACGAATTCATGTTTAAAGGGCACAGAGCTTCCACTGGGGGAGATGAAAAGGTTCTGTAGTTAAATGGTGGCAACAGTCACACAACAACATGAATGTGCTTAATAGCTCCGAACTGCACACTTAAAATTGTTAAAATGGTAAGCTATATGTATATATCTATAATCCTGTCAGAATTAAAAACAAAGACAAGAGTTTTTTTTAAAGAAACTTTTTTTAAAGATGTTATTTATTTATTTTTAGAGAAGGAAGGAAGGGAGAAAGAGAGAGAGAGAGAGAAACATCAATGTGCAGTTGCTGGGGGCTGTGGCCTGCAACCCAGGCATGTGCCCTGACTGGGAATTGAACCTGCAATGCTTTGGTTCGCAGCCCACGCTCAATCCACTGAGCTACGCCAGCCAGGGCAAAAAAAAAAAGAGTTTTTAATGCAAGTGGTGGACATATTTTAAAAATATTGGTGTGTGTTTTCTTTCTTACTAAATATCAATAAGGAAAATAGATATATCCAGTTTAAAATCTCAAGCTTTGGGCTCAATTATGGATGAATATTGTAGGGTAGTTTATCATTGCTTTATGAGAGAGGAAAATAGGCAACCAAATGAAAAGACTTAAAACACTTAAATCTTACTTCATCCAGAGAAAGTGGGTCTCCTGTGTGTCCAGACTCTGGCCAGATGGACGGGAAAACTGGGGCTAGTCCCTCGTCCCGCACTCGTACGACCGCTCCTCCACCTCTCTAGAGTGGGTTCAGCCGGTGTTGCCTTATGTTGTTGGTTTTCTTTTTGTACCATAAAAATGTGTATTGATACTCACACTCTTTTCAGGATAGGGTGTGGGCCAACGTGGGGAAGAGCCTGAACTGCGTCATCGCTATGGTGGATAAGCTGATCGAAAACGATGGCGGCAGTGAAGACAGCGGTGGCGGCAAGAACGGGGAAAAGGACCCTTCGGTCGTGGACTCCATCGTAACTCACCCAGGGGGTAAGGAGTCTTTCCCTCCCATCGTTGATGGAGTAAACAGCTTGAGAGAGTCATCATGAGACGAGCTAGAGAAAGAGGGAGTCAGTGGTGCCTTTGATGAAAGTGCTGATGGCGTGCTTTTGCTGCCCTGGCTGGGATGATGGAAGGCTCTTTATCAAATTGCGTCTCCGCTGCATTGTCAGCACGGCTTGAAATGCTCATGTGTTTTTTTTTTTTCTTTTGCCACATAACAACCTTCTCAAAAGAAGAACAGTGTTTTCTTTTAAAGAATCTGACATAGTTTAATCTACTTTTATGCATGCCTCCAAAATTATATTAGGAAGAAAAGCAAGCATCTGATCTTAAATCTCTTAGAAACTTCGAGAGACATCAGGATACAATATCTCAGAACGGGGCCCAAAAAGAATGCAGTATGACAGATAAAATGCTCTTTGCCTTATTCTGAGGATTATCTTTTGTGAATTATCTCAAAGGATTTAAGAAGGTTTGATTCCATGTAAGAATACTATGTTTGGCCCTGACCAGTGTGGCTCAAACCTGACCAGTGGGGTGGATGTCATTCTGCGAAGTGAAGGGTCACTGGTTTGATTTCTGGTCAAGGCACATGCCTGGGCTGTGCGTTCAGGCCCCAGTCAGCGTGCTGGTGAGTGACAGCCCATCGATGTTTCTCTCCCCCTCTGTCCCCTTCCCTTCCCATCTCTCTAAAAATAAATTAAACTCAAATAAAAAGAATCACACATTTGTGCATTATTCCAAAGACGTATTAGGAAGTCTAGATTTTCACTGAAACATGTACACACTCATACACACGTGCATATATATGCACATACATGTGGGTATATGTGTGTGTGTCTATAGACAGAGAGGTATATAGATAAAAAATCGATAGGTATGGCTTAGCACAGCTGACCAGCAAATGTGATCATCAAAATTTAACTATAGTTGTGTCCCTCTAAATGGCTTTTTTTTGGTTGTTAAAATCCATTTGCTAATTTGATTAGTTTTGATAGAAAAACCAAGACTAACACCATTTTTTTTAATGGTAGGGAGAGTTTCTATTAGAGTTGCTCCAGCCCTTCTGCCATATATCCTGTCTTTGGAGAGAAGAAACAGTGTTGTCCTGCCCTTTTCTTCTGCAGCCTGCTTTTCCTTTTATTTTAAGAAAATAAGTTATAAGAAAATATAGATACTTCTAAAGTTAAATTCATGTTTTTCCAACTTGTTTTCCTGACTTTTCATTACTCACAGTTTCATCAGGAGTTTAATTATGGGAACATCTATCTTTTATCACTTGAGTAACGGTAGAACCATTTCCAAACCACTTTGGAATCAGCGGCTTTCTAAAGTCCTTTTTATTGCCAGCGTCCCTCATCTTCTGTGGTGCAGTGACGTAGGTGGGGAGTTTGCATTAATGTTCTTCACATCGGTACCGGCTTGGTCTACCTGTCTGTGGGGATTTCCATTTTTAATGGCATCAGTTTTATTAATGAACTTAGTCCAATTTCATAACTAATTGAATCAAAATGTGTATTTCCCCTGCCCCGTTCCTAGGTTCAGCCATTTCCAAGGAATCTGGTATCATGTATTGGAAACGAGCATGTAGAAACCGACATTTAGGTGGATAGGAACATTTGGATGGCTCTTGTTAATGGCAGGTACTCTCACCACCAGTACCTACAAGCATCCTTTTAACTGCAGGCTTCCCAGCCATTCTTATTTTTGCTGATTTCATTACTTTGGATGGAAACCATCGTTTTGTGATTTCTGGTTATTTGTGAAGTTTGACATTATATAACTTAATATTTCATTTCAGGATGTTATTTATGATAATAAAATTGATTTCTCCAATAGCCCCAAATTTATCTCCAGCCCGTCACTGGCATGGAAAAGGCATTTCATTCTTCTCTTTTTACAATTAATTAATGAACTGAGTCAGTGAAGAATTTGCATTACCTATAATTTATTGGAATGTATGATGTGGTACATACTAACAGGCATTTGCTGCAGCATCATTTATTAGTGACTTGTTTCCTCATGTTGTATGAGTTTTTTTTCTTTAAATATTAAGCTCAGCAAATATTTTTAATCAACCTCTGGAGTTTTTATTCTGTCAATTTATGTTTTACATTGGGATACATTTTGAAATCTCATAGGTTAAGTCAACCCTTTGAAAGTCAGTTTTTCTTTCTCCATCACCACCCTCCATTTTTACATTTCAGCTGTAATTTGTGTTTGTTTTGCTGGTGTGGATCTCACATGGTTAAACAGGTGGTCTCTTGCATGTGTCTACCTGTATCCATGTGTGTTCCTCTCTAACCTGCAGACATTTTTCTTTTCAAGTTGCAGACTTTCCTTTAATACAGTATTTAATGTTTTTAATGTGTGGTTTTGAAGGTCACTTGTTTTAGATCTAGGGTTTTACGATATATCTTCATAAATGTCTTTTCAAGATTAATACAAATAGCGCTGAGAGAAGTAAACCTTCTCTACTGTTCTGAACACAAGTAACAGAGTAACCAGCCCAAATGTTCATGACTGACCTGTATTTATGTGTTTTCTCTGTGAATGAGATTGTCCTCCTATTTTTCATACACTTAAATGTATTTGGAAGCATGTACTATATACATAACACCACATGCCTTCAATTTCAGAATAAGTTGAGGACTCAAGAATAAAATCAGGAAATATTAGAATCATAGATTTTGATATACCCTTAGAGATTCTGTAATTAAACTACCTACATTATGCAGAGAAGCTTACCCACCGTATCTCTGCCCATTTTTACCTGACCTGTGACACACAACTCCACTGACAGGAAACCGTTTTTATTTCTAGAGTGGCAGGCCCTAGCTGTCTATCAAAATGCGTTTCCTTTCATTTTAGCCATTGGCCCAGATCTAATCCTTTGGCCTAACAAATTTACTTTCTTTCCCCACATTATCACTAACGTATCTGCAAGCAATCATTGTACCCATTTTTGAATTGCCACTTTCTCGGTCGTTTTCAAAGGAGTAGTGTGGAATGCAGAGGAACACGGGACGACTGCCCGCCCCCTCGCTCCCAGGTGCTGTCTCAGTTCGCATCAGTCACCCGGACAGCCGCATCGTACTGCGGGCTCCACCGATATCGCCAGACCTTGCTAAATTTGACCTGTTTTTCAGGCTCCTCAAGGTTCAAGTAATATTTAAGCACTATTGTGGGTTAGCAATTGTGAGATATGAGGGGCACAAGGAGATTAAGACACAGTCTATCTCAATTCTTCTGAAAAGATTGATGTCGAAACCCATGACTGCAGTATAATACACTTTTGAGTCCACTCGAATAAATGCCTATTTCTTTCATCCATCATGTCTATTGTCCTACCCAGGTTTATTTTATTCGCATTTTATAAATGCTTTCTGTCCGTTCACAAAGGTAATGGATAAAAATGATGGGAAAACAGGTAAAAACAGATCCTTGAGGAACAGCACTAAAAAGCATTGAAATACACCTTCTGATCGCTACTCTTTGGGAAGGTGGGGCCAACCATCTATGTATTTATCCAATCATCTTATTACATGCCCTGCATTTCTCTTTCTTCACAAGAACATCGTGAAATGCCCCGTGGAAAGACCAAACATCCATCCTGTGTCATTGAATACTTTTTCCTAATGTACCCAACTATAAGTGCTGAGATAAATGCTTTGTCAGATTTTCTCAATTTAAGTATAGTTGGGGTACAACATTATATTAGTTTCAGGTGTGTGACATAATAATTCAATATTTATATACCTTACGTTGTAGTCACCATGCTGAATCTAAAAACCATCTGTCACCATATAAAGTTATTATAATATTACTAACTGCATTTCTTGTGTTGTACATTTCATCTTTGTGGCTTATTATTTTATTTTAATGGATTTTTCTTGATATTATTAAGTGAGTAACTTCACTAACTTCAATGACTTCACATACCTGCATGAAAATCATTATATTCCAGAGCTTATACTCAACATTGGACAATTATTTTAGTGGTTTTATACCTTATAAAAATCTGTTTTAATGTGTAAAGTGCAAAGATTGAAGCACAAAGCGTCATTTTCTTTTTTTTAAGATTTTATTTATTTATTTTTAGAGAGGGAAGGGAGGGAGATAGAGAGAGAAAGAAACATCAATGTGCGGTTGCTGGGGGGTCATGGCCTGCAACCCAGGCATGTGCCCTGACTGGGAATCGAACCTGCGACACTTTGGTTCACAGCCCGCGCTCAACCCACTGAGCTACGCCAGCTAGGGCCAGAGCGTCATTTTCATCGAAGGACTTAAAGCAGTAATATTTGTGAATTCTATGAATGTCTATACGTTAATGTTCAGAATTTTGTGAGAAAGAAGCATGAACAAATCAGGCTTTTTAAAACGCATAGGTTAGCAGGTGAAGCAATTTTTAAAGTACATTTACAAGTTAAAAAACACTCAGTAGAATGTAAACAAAACACACCACAGATACCTTTATTGTAAAATTAGAATTCCGATAATAACTTACATGATGACATTTTTGCATGTCTGCTCTTATCAGGGAAATAATGTTTTCCTTAAAATCGTGCGGTGAATTATGATGTAACAAAACAACACTTGACTCAGGGCCGAGCTAGCTGGGCAAGTCCACAGTTTACTGATTTGGCTGCATGGTCTTGGCAGCGCCCATGGGTTCTCTGGACCTCACTTTAGTTGGTAAAATGGTATCATCTGCAAAAATTCAAAACTGCTTCCAGTTATAAAGTGTTATAATAATAAAGATGCCACATTATTGAAAGCAATTTTTTCTTTCCTTTCTGTCATTGGACACATTTTAATTGAGCACCTACTATGTGTTGGGCACTCTTCCTAACACTGGGGATACAGCAATGAACAAAACAGATAAAACAGCTGTCCTCCTAAAGTTTATCTCCCTGCAGCAGAGAGACATTTAAAAAATAACAGGAGAAATAAGGTCATTGTGTAATATGGTAGTGGTGACAAGTGCT